ACATTATCTATGAAAATATACAGGAGCTCGGTGTTCAGAACCATTTTGATTCTGGTGTCGGAGGTGAGAAACTGTTCTAATTTTTTTGTTCTAATGTTTTTGTTCTAATTTTTGTTGTGCAGAAGCTATGAACATTATCTATGAAAATACAAAGGAGCTCCGTGTTCAAGAGCATTATCAGTCTGGTGTCACAGGTGAGGAACAGTTCTGCTACGAAATTTATGTTCTTATTTTGTGTGCCACAACACAGAAGGAGGAATGCAGCAAAGAGCCTTTAGCAATTAGCTTCTTATTATAAAAGTGCAGGACAACTGGCGATCTCCAGAAGCTAGTGCTTTGCAATCTGTCCTGACAGCATTTTGAGAAGCTCTGATTACCCAGTACAGATTTTGACGGAACCAAATTCTTTAACACACTATATTTTGACACAGGAGCGGATGTGAGTTCTGTGGATGACACCGTGAAGGGCTCTCAAGTTCAGAACCATCAGTGCTCTGCTGTCACAGGTGAGAAACAAACAGTTTTGCTACAAAAATTGTTTTTTTTGTGTCGTAAGAGAAATTGTCATGAAACTGAGATAAATTAGCTTCCAGCTTCCTATTTTATACTTGTATTATCCCTCTGTTATACTAGTTATTCCTGCTGTCCAGACTGTAGAATTGAGTGCCCCCCCCCACCCCCCCACCCACCTTATAGGTAGTAAACGTTGCCCGTAAACAGTTCAACACAAATAAGAATTTTATGGCAATAATGGGGAATGTTACTGATGCTGGTAATTTCGCAGTGCATTTTAGTTCTCATTAGTTTCAGATTTCAAATATTCTACATAACTAAGTAAAAATCCACCTTACTTAATGGCTTATTTAATACATCTAACCTTTGTGCGGTTAGAGGACCAGAATAAAAACAGTGGAGGATCTCTATAATCTGCTCAGCAGCTTCCCCTTTCTACTGATGTCAGCCAGAATACTTGTGACACTCGGGGTTCAAAGAAAGTTCTGACAAACTGGCAGCACAGAAATCAGCAAGAATATGTACCAACTTAAATTCTAAAGCGATGAACTTAACTGTTGCTTTTTGAATTTTTTCTTTTTTATCATTGAAGGCTGTTTTTTTGTTTTTTGTAGTGTGACCACTTCCTTTAACACCAGACCAAAGGCATTTTCTGCATGGGTCCCTCTCTGCAAGGCTGCAGCAGCTTATATTCACATTTATTTAGAAGACACTTCTCTCCAAAGTGATATACAAGCACGAGAAATAGTGCATTACGAATGACAGACTTTGGCTATATTTGGGAGGCCAGGTGGACCGTATTACTCCATGAAGGGACTTTTTCCTAGAACTTTGAAACTGTCTGATATATTTTCACACAATTCTTGCAAGACTTGTGCACAGGAAGTGCCTGTTTTCGGAGTTGATTTATGCCTCTACAATGTTATACTACTAGCAGTTATAGTGTCAGCCATGACAGAGCTCTGGAAAAAATTGAGGCCGCTCCTTATTTTTTATTTTATACATTTTTAAATACTGGTTTAGTCCTGGTTCTGCTGGCAGAGAACTACAATGCAGGTTGCCCGCACACTCAAAATTTCGAAGACAGCAGTACACAAGAACAAAGTGAAGCAGCAGCCACTGGGAACGACCAGAATCAATCCAGGTAGGGGGCACAACGTGACTCTAATTCCAGAGATGACGATCAACTTATCCGACAGTCTATAGCGAATCAGATGGGTGACACCTTCAAAAGGAATGGGAAACATTAAGTGCAGGTGTGAAGTGCACAGCTAGGACAGTTCGTATCTGGCTCCTAGGAGGACTGAAGTCCCATAAAGCAAGAAAGAAGCTTTTAATTAATGAGAAACTGAAGAATCAGGCTGCAGTTTGCAAAAAAATATTATTTATTCAGACGCACACCCATAAATTGAGAAATGAGTGAAACAAAAAATTGTGCTGCAGTCTCGATTTTTTCCAGAGCTGTATTAGTCTTTTATTGCCTGCAAAAGAACCGGCTCCATCGGCCTCAGCTGGCCTCTCTCTCTCTCAATGGGTCCAAACCCTAATCCACTGACAGATGCCAAAAAGCTCTGTACTGCTTAAACTGCCTTGGTAACTATTTACATTTGGAATTAGTTATTTTTACTTATGATTTATTCTTTTGCAAAGGAAAAAAATGTATGGTATACAGGTAAATGTATCTTGCTTGAAACATATATAAATAAATGCCTATTAAAATTACATTTACCTTGGCATTCATTTATAGAAACTGGCCTATTTTTTGCTGGCTGAAGGCAGTAGACATTCATCCTACATCTATAGTGATGCAACACAGAAGGTACATCCATCAGTGTTCGAAGAACAGCATAACCTCTACAGGGTCATGGAGATCCCAGGAAACACAGGGCCTGAGGCAGGGGACACTGTGTCCAGGATGCCCGTCCACTGCAGCAGCGCCACATCCCCGTCCACTGCAGCAGCGCCACATCCCCGTCCACTGCAGCAGCGCCACATCCCCGTCCACTGCAGCAGCGCCACATCCGGACTAGCCGCAAACACTCCCCATCATACTTTAACTTCATTACACTGGGTGATGCCACTCCTCCCCCCCCCACATTTAGAAACTGGCTTTACTTAACACTACATTTCATCACACCCACAAAAAGCTGCCTTTTACAGTAAGTTCTACAAAACGTTTGAAAGACACATTTCTGAAAACCTTATTTAATCATTACAAACTGTACAGATAAATGGGAAGCAGGATTACATTTACAGCAGGTGTCCCATGGTGCACTAATGGGCGTGACGCCCCTAAGGACACCAGGAGGCCCCCAGGGTTCCTCACTTCTCCAAGGGGGCATAGTTGAGCAGTTTCTCAATGAGGTCCACATGTGACAGCAGCATCCTGCGACAGCAGTACCTCTTTAAGCCCAGGGCATCCAGGGCGTCACTGCCAAGAAGCAGGAGAGAACACATTAACATACCACAATAAATGGGAGAGGCCCAGATGAGATGGCATGCAAGTCCGGGTTTAATAAAGGGTAAACACTAAATACCCATAATGCTGCTGAATACCACAAGGCACATAAAAGGTAAATTGATATACAATTATGCATATCTTTGCTTCAGAGGTGCATTTAAAAATGTGTAATCAGGGATGCACATAACTGGTACACAAGTACGCATTCGCCATACCAAGTCTAAATTGTAGTTCTACTAATAAATGTTTTTGCTTACTAAACGTGAAAATAATGTCTTCAAGTACCAATATGCAATGGTACAAACCACTTTGTGTTGGGTGGTCAACTTTGCTCAGCTGGCTGGCGTGAGACTCAAGTCTGCACACACGTTTACATGCATGTAACAGTTTTATTACAATGAAAATAGTCTGCAGGGTTTGCAAACTACCCCAAAGTTTTTGATGTAGCTTACTTCAGGTTTATAACAGAATACTAAAGATTTGGTGCAAGATTTCTTGCACGACCGTGAGAGTCTGGAAGTGTGTCACGCCAGATGTGTGAGAATTGGCAACCCTGATAATGTATGGCTCCTTGTGCATTGTCCGTTACTTAACCATTAAAGCAGGGACTACTTAATATCTCTTTATAGGCCATTATTCATGGAGATAAATAGAGCACTAGTACAAACAATCAATGAAAATTTTAAGAAAACTAGAACGTGAAATATTTGAGCAGACTGGGCTGAAGGTAAATGGAATGGAATAAATTCCATTTATCCCAGACTACCTTAAATCTGACAAGGAAGAAATCCTGCATTGTGAAACAGACCCCTGGTGTTACTGTCTGAGAGTGACTGACTGGCGATTAAAAAACCAAACACATGGCTTTTATACCCTTGTACACGTCTAACAGCATCTTTAATGCTTGTGTTAACTTTGGTTACTTTAGACCAGCGGTTCTCAAAATTTGAGGCGTGAAGGTGTCAGTGTATGTATACGTCAATCAGGTGGGACGTGGTTAAATCTTACTGCCATCACCCTCCACCCTCAACAAAATCTTTGCCACTGGTACACCAGAAGGGTATATATTTTCCAAGGTGGTATGCAGTGCAAGAAGTTTGAGGACCAGTGATTTTAGATGACATGTTCTTAAATCATAATTAAATTAGACTGAACAATCTTCTTCCAGACTGAAAAACAATGGTCAGCACTGCCAAAGCCCCCATCAGTCTTGAGTGTTTAGTGGAATATCTGTATATTGTTTTTTTTTCCCCAGCTTTCACATATTCCCTTCTGCCAAAAACACTAAGTGGGCCAAATGATGCTGCATGCTGTGTGTGTGTGTGGCATGTTAGCCACCGTCCAGGTGGGTATTCCACAAAGCAGGATTTCTTGCTTAGCCAAATAACTTCTTGAATTTAAGATAGTCTGGGCTAAACTGACTACCATTTACTACCTTAAATCCGGTTATATGGCTAAGCAAGAAATCCCGTTTCATGGAACAGCCCTAGACCCAATTATACTTGTATCGCAAATATTTAAAAAAAATAAATAAATGGTTGTACTTTGAGTGATGGAACATGTTACTTGTGTTACCCTATCTCACAGAAATCGTTTTCTAAGTTCACATTTGACTTAACCCGATTTCAGTATAGTGCTAGCTGAAGCCAAAATACGACCGATCAATTGCGTCCTTTTTATGGACGTCTTCCTTGCCTGGCAGAACAAATTTATGTACAAACATTTACTGACACGGGGTGAAATCTACATTCACAAGCAGATGTTAAACACAAAAACATTATGCTAATTGTGGCTGAGAGTTGATGACGGATAATACTGGTTAGAGTTAATCATAATCGGCAGTTTGGGAAACCAAAATGTTCCCAAACTGCCGATTATGACTAACTGTATCAAGCGGTATGATCAGCACCGCCAAAGTGACCACCCGGTTGTTGAGTGCGTAGTGGAATATCACAAGTTCAGTTTAGCTTAATATCACGCCAGCACTGGAGAGAAAATAGCCTATTACAGCAAGTCTGTTGGATTTGTCATACTGATCTCGGATATGTTGCCAGACAATTTCACTCATTCTTCATCATTTCCATGGCGCTGTGATATCAAAACTGAACTCAGGAATACGTCACTGGAGGACTAAAGTTTGTACCTAGATTTGCAAACAAATATTCGTGATTAAGAAATTTATATGCGCCATTCATTGATATATTTAAAATAATGTACATGCCACGTTAGTTTCCGCTGTGCATTTAATTCAATGGTAACAAAATAGTTACGCGCTAATGAATATCAGCGACAAAAAGACTAATACTGCTGTTTGGGGCTACACTGCATTTGCTTCGGGGGAGGCATGCTGTTTCCCACAGCAAATAACCTACAATGTCTCTTACCCTTCGGTGTACTCGGCCTGTAATAAGCCAAGATAAGCCTCCCATTTGTTTCCCACGATTTTTCCACAAGTGAAGCAGCGCACAGGGATAATCATCGCGCCGTCCCTAACACATGGGAAGACAAACGGCACACGGTGAGACACACGGCACAGCCACGCGAAGCATTTTCAGCTAAACGTCATTAAACTACAGGGATAACTTCTTATAAAACGCCAGGAAGCTACACCAGTTAATAAAGGTAAAAATATCACATAATAAAAAACCAACTACTTACGGATATGTATCGCCTTGTGTAAAAAGGTACAAGACAATATATTCAACAACCAACGTTAATCGCTTTCCTCGTCAAACACACTGCCGTAAACTTCCGGTTAGTACCAAGATACGTAACACGGCGGGTACGCACCAAGATGACGAGATTTTGTATTAACTTAAAATTGATGACTTAAAAGACACTATCATGCTTTTAATTTCAAATAGTTTTAAATTATGAGCATCCTAATTATTTAAAACTATGAAAATTAAACAATCTTAAATATTATCAATAAAATCACACTCACCCGTCTGTTTTGAAATCTCCGCAAGATATGGTGGCTCCAGATGTTCAAAATTCATATTTTTATGCGTTTCGTTTGTTTCCAAGTGACGTAGGGATAGTTGGCGCATGTGTACATATTTAAGTTGTAAACGTTAAGTATGTAATTCAGCAACATAGGACTTTGTGGTCGAGTTTATTGTCCTGTGGTGAATTACAGTGTTAAAGTGACGTGAACTGAATCATGAAATGACACCTTCAATTACATTGCTTTTTTCGTTGATTTCGTTGATTTGTTAGTTAACGTTAATATTAATTAATATTAATGACAAAGTTCGTTTTAATCAAGTTGTAAAAATGAAACAGATTCTGATGCTCAAGGAATTCAGTTTCACGAGTGTGATCCATGAGTTCTTTAGCCACAGCTCATCATGGTGATCAGTGTGGAGTCATCCTCCTTCCTTCCAGTCTTTTACTACTGTTAATGTGTTCCATACACTGTCACTGTTCTGTACCCACTGTCACTGTTCTGTACCCAGTGCCAGTGGTGACTGAAGCCCATGTGGTGCCTAGGTATTATAACATGATTGTATATATTATAACATGATTGTATGTCTGATCATTCACCAAGGCATGTGATTAATCACAATTTAAAAAATCATTTGCCAGTCCTATTAACAATCTTTAGTTCTTCATTTTAAAACATTAATCTGCTTGGCATGACTTCACTTACAGTGTTTTCTTTCTGGTCCCACATGATAACCTAACAGTGGCATTGATACTTTCCCCTTCACCCACAATGCATAGCTGTTCTGTGTGTCACCGGCCCAGAGCTACTATATCATATCCCACTGAAAATGGCACAACATTGTTAACATGTCGACATTAACAAAGACCACACAATGGTAGGTTAACCCTGCTTGTATTTATTCACCATTCTCCACGACACCTATATACATTAAGTACTTGATTCAGGACGTTGTTAAAGACCATTTTAAGATAACAATATTAATGTGCCATCATATGCCCCAACTAGATACAATGCATCCCTAGTGGAGCTAAGGATCATTGGGCATCACAGGGTAGAGTCACTATATAGACCATGTTTATGTCCTACTTAGTCTTAAACTAGAGCATCAATGTTCTGTGAGGTTTCAGACAGGGAAATTATACTAATGATTGCTGAGCTAATTTACAGGTATTTTTACTTCCTACTCTGAAACTGAGATAAGGCAAATGAAATAAATATCTAGATTTGCTCACTTGTCCCACAGAACTCTCCAGAGATAGAGAACTGGGTCTTCAAAACTAAACTGACTTCAAACCAGGCTGCTCCATTTCAGCACCCAGCCACAAGGTTAAAGTTACTATAATGAAAATCTTAAGGCATTTCCCTTCTAAAAAATCTGCATGATGTACAGATTTTTTATGGGTAATCCGAACATAGTAAAGAAAGTCTGAACCAGGGTCTGATGTCACAGATGCTTCTGAGTTTATCATGATATTATTCGACATCTACTTTATTTTCCCATTTGTGTCATTTTGTTTTGTCTTCACATGTTGATATCTGTTTTCCACTCACAGAAGAAACCTCTCCTTTCTCTCTGAAACATCACTGGTATATCCACATGTGTAAATTTATCTATGAATGTGACAGTGATGATTTATATATAAATGTCCTACAAAGTGATTCAGTAATATTTACATGTATATATCCCGGTGTTTAAAAGGTTATTTGTACAGATGCAGCCTAAATCAGTTGTAATTGATACCCCACAAGAAAATCACTGCGACACAACAGGGACCAACATCATACACACATCATACATCTCACATACAAATCCAGAGACACAGAAAGTGAATGTTAAAATGTCAAAAAGACAGGCAAAGTGTGAAATGGAAATAATGTAAATTAAAATGAGAAATATGCAAATAATAAAAATAAAATAAATATACAATTTAAAAACATAATATATCAAAATGTTTTAGTGTCTAACTACATCCAGCAAAGAAAACTAACTGGAAGAGTGGAGGTCCAAGAGGAAAAGAAAAAATAAAAGACAATATTTTGTGGATAGGTGGAGGTTTGGGCAAGATGGTCCATGATGCAATTGTAATGATGATGTAATGACTGCAGCATTGTGGGTAATTGGCCAGCCTCAGTTCTGGGCGGATGAGTTAATTTTCTCTTGCTGCCTTTTCATGATCTCCTGGAGCTCAGAGCTCCCACGGCTCTTCTGTAAAAGACAGGACCTCAGTTAGGAGTGAAGCCTATACTTATGTATAAGACGTGTGTGCAACAGGGTCATTATTCCACACCATTTGTGGTTCTGAGTAATACGGAGAAGCATCTGTACTAGCTAATAGTGGGAAAGAATCAGCGTGCCCAAAAATGAACAGACCTCCAGCTGAGCTTTCTGCACGGTGATCTTGCTGTAGACCCTGGCGCCCTCATCCCCACACACCGCCTTCAGCTCCTCCTTGTTGAGGGAAAAGAGCTGGGCTCCGGTAAGGATGCCCAGGCAGTCCACGGTCCTGGCAGGCCAGGGAGGAGGAGTGGGCACACGGAAGAACAGAGGGAGACCGGGAGGAGACACAGACAGCCGATCAGTGAGACGGAGTGGGCAGAGAAATGAAACGGAAATCGCATTATTATTCACACTTTAATGTATCATTAATCTTTTATCAAAACCAAACAGGAAAGATCTGAAGAGTCAGACGCTTTTAACATTTGTGTGACTGAGTCACACACATACACACGCACATTTGTAGTCATATCTTTGTGGACTTTGGGGACTGTCCATTCATTTTGATGGGGAAAACCCTAATCCCAACATGACAACGTTAACCCCTACCCAGCGCAAACAAATAAGCAATTAAACAAAATACAAGACTTCTAACGTTCTTATTTTTTTGATTGCAGTTGTGAGGGCCGGAAAAAAGGTCCCCACAAAGTCAGAATAACAGGTTTTTGTCACATTGACATAACTCACACACACACTCGCTCATGCTGGTAACTCACGGTTTGGTGAAGCCCATGGCGTTCAGCCACGTGGTGACCTGTTCCGGGGGCGACTCGAAGTTCAGCGGCACTGAGTGGCTGGAAGGTCGCTCGACGCGGAAGTTTCGTGCTGCAGGCTGCGTCTTGTTGGTGGTGATCCTCTTCAGCAGCTCATCGTTCACCTCGTTCATCTGCTGATTCCGTGCTGGAAGCGCATGACAAAGGCCAGATATGGAAATGAGATTCCCAAGCACAAGCTGGGTGAGATTTAATTTCTCCTTATATATTATTTCTCACTATTTACTGATACCAAAATGGTTCCTAGAAGCTTACGTTGCTTCTTCGCTTGGAAAGCTCTCCAAAGTTACATCAACAGAAAGGAGGGACCAAAAGGGGACCTCACCAACTTTGTCCCGGGGGTTTCTCTCTGCGTCAAAACTGTCCCCAAGACCGATAGGGCTGGGGGATGCAGGGCCTCGGTAAGACTGGCCAGGCTAGTTACAGGGAAAGAGAGAGAGGTTATGTCTTCTTTGAAAATGTATCCAGATTGTTACAGGGGAAAAGATGATTGTCAGATATCATACTGATAGCATGCCTGAGCTCCCGCTACAATCCAGTGCCTGTTTTTTTCTTTTTTTCACCTTTCTGCTGACACTGAAATGGCTTCCTTCTGTTCTCCTTCCTCCTCTCTGCTTTTGTTAAACCCATCCCTACGCTTCACCACAAATTAAGTCCCCATTTCCTTCTCCCACCTCCGTGTCACCTGGTTCTATTCTCCATCCAGTCTTTGCGCCTTTATACAGAAGATTTCTGTGATGAATCATGGAGAAGCTGCTTAGTGTATGTAACAAGAATCATTTATCGTATCGCAGCAAAGTTGCCTGTTATGAATTAATACCGATTTAATAATATTCATGGATGTGCACATTTATTTTATATAGCAGACACTTTTGTCCAAAGCGACGTACGAGTGAGGGAAGTAGCACGTCACAAAAATATGGCTGTCATGGAGTCGACTAGGCATAAGTGCAGCTGAATGGCGTGTCCAATGAATGGCCGAACATAGTAAGAACCTAATAAGAGCAGAGATTGCAACATTTGGGGAGCACAGTGTGGAATCTGGATAGTAAAGGCATCCCTGGGAGAGCTGGCTGTGGTTCTGTGTGTTTACCTGGCTGTACAGGGGCTCTGACATGCTGGGGGGCTCCTCCAGCTTCACCACGTCCAGGATGTTGTACGGCACATAGCCCGACTGGCCGCTGCGGTTCCGGAGCTTCCACCACTGCTTGTCATCCTCTAACACCTGAAGGAAGACAAAGCAAAGTGACGTGATCCTGCTTTTCTGCAACAGGCCCCAGTTCTCACCTGGTTAACTTTTAGCCATTGTCAGCAATATCAGTTGATAACACATTACGCGGTATTTTGCACCCAAAAACACAGCAGCAACACGTCCACAGATAGCGGTTGGACAGCACTGTGTGTACAACCGATTTATACAAATAAGACGTAAGTGCTAATAAACAGCATAAAATCACTTCAGTTGATAAAAAGTGCAGCCATCTTGAACTCTGAGGTTGGGGTTGTGAGATTCCTCCGAGTTCACAGGTCGGAATTCCAACTTCTGGGGTTATCGCTGTTCAAATTTTCAAATAGGAACTCAGAATTTCTGATTTACGAACTTGGAATGCAGCATAACACTCACAGATGAACATACCCACAGACACCATGTCCCTGTCACTCCCACCCCAAGCCCCACCCAGTCTGTACCTCCAGCACCTCGTCCTGCAGTACCGACAGCTCATTGGCGTTGCGAGCCACGAAGTGGTAGCGGATCTTGGCATATTTGCGTGACTGGAGTGTGCTGTCATACATCCTGGAAGGAAGCAGGAAGACATGTCTTTGTTGGGGCAGAAGGAGGTCTAGAGACAGACAGTCTTCGAAAAAGTGGGAACTTCCATCTCTTAGGTTTAACTCCTCAATGACTTTCTGATAGCTTTAGTAATTGCTGTACTATTAGGTATCAATAATGCCAGGAATGGGGGGGGGGGGGGCATCAAGCCAGAGGATTGATCGGTCAAATCTAAGAAGTTTATCTGTTCTCTCTTTTGCTAAGTCTTGAATTTCTGCATATGTTTGTTTATTTTCTCTCCACATCTCTTCACAAGTTGCCTATCACTCTAGTGAGACAGTATCACACAAGAGATGTGCGATGTTTGTCCGTTTTCTTCTTGTTACCGTGTGCCAGCTCGCTCGGCAGTAAACAACCGGTAGACTCCAGTGGGTAGTTTTGAAGTTTCAAAGTAGAATAGTCCATTACAGCTGGCACAGGGGGCAACTCTGATTATCCTGAAAATTGTCGCTAAAAATTTAAATATTGCTATTATTCAAATCCGGGGTCTCCAACTCCGGTCCTGGAGAGCTACTATCCAGTAGGTTTTCTATCCTACCCGGCTTCTGATGAGCCACATTAGTTCTCAGGTAAATACCAGGAACAGGTGTGGCTCATCAGAAGCCAGGTAGGATAGAAAACCTACTGGATAGTAGCTCTCCAGGACCGGAGTTGGAGACCCCTGATTTAAGTGATCATATTATGTTATATCCTTAAATGTAACTTCCGGAAATTCTGTCTTCATGAGGCCCCTAGTTTTCAGGGGTCCCAGGCGGCTGCCTACTCTGGCCTTATGGTATGTCCACCCCTGCTTTCAAGGCCCCAGAAGCAAAATTTGAGGATGAGACTCAAGCAGGACAGGAATAATGAGAGTTTCAGAGTAAATAAATCATATCCCATTATAATATATTCATTATAATATAATGAAGGGTCACTTAACCTACCCGTTGGAGGGGCTGTAGGGCGGTGAACCATAAAACTGAAAGAGAGCGTGAGAATCTATTAACTGCTGACCAAAGAATGTGATGAAGTTGCACGTTTTTACACAGCTGCAATTTTCTACTAATAACAGAATCTTGATGTGAGTTTTATGAATAAATTTGCAGCTTTTGTATATTGATGCTTGGTGAGCTGGTAGATGGGGGCCCTTTGCAGGTCCTGGACCAACAGCACAGCTGAAAGATCATTCAGTTCTTCCATCGTTTTCCCAACACGTACCTCCTCGGATGGTTTCCTGTAAACTGACTGATTGGCTGGCGGGAGAGCTTGGGCAAAGCCTTCTGTTTCCCATGGTGAGGTCCGGAAAATCTCTGCAGGAGGTTCCCAGCCATTGCGAAACTTTGGAAAGTAGGGAGGGGCAAGCTGATCTTTCGGCCAATCCGCTCTGAGATATAGAAATGACTGACATGAGTCCTGTCTCCTTTGTCATGACAATCAATTACCTAGTTGATTTTGGCAGATAGACTTAAGTAGATATGAGTTGTTTACAGATATAGAGTAAATCTCAGTAGTTACACACACACTCACCTGGGTCTGGTCCAGTAATCTCCCAGCAGCTCAAAGATAGTCATTTCCTTGGGGCTAAGATGTCCCCTCAGAAATTCAACAGTATCCCGGCACAGGTGAGGGGAGGTAATGGACCGGGCCAGATCTGGACTCCCACAGCTTTGTAGCACCTGGAAGTCAAACTCTGTACTAGTCCAAATGCTCTAATTGCAGAGATGATCACAAGTCCTCTTTTGCAAGTCCAAGTCAAATCTGAAGTCTTTCACTTTAACCCCAAGTCAAGTCTTCTAGGTTTGCTTGAAAATCATTTTAGTGAAGAAAATGAGAGTACATACTTTTAATCTTTTAATTACACTACTTAATACTTTAAATGGAACAATTAAACGTTTAATGTAAAATTAAGGAAATAACACAAACATTGGATTAAGCTAGGCTAATGAATGCGTATCTGCATAACTGTACCTCACGCCCAATAATTTTAGCCAGCTAATGTTAGTTGTAATCTTGGATGAATAGAGCATTTAACATTATTCTATTTACCAATGGCATTATGAAAGACAATATTATTCATCCATTATCAGCATCCTTAATGGCCGCATTTCTTACACTTCATTTGTTTTCAAGTGCTTTTTAATCTATGCATACAATAGCGATGATTTATAGTACAGATATAACGGTAGCTAAATGTACATTACTGTCCTGTTTCGTTCATTTTACGTGAGGAAAAAATACCTTTTTTTGTTCACAAGTTCTAAGACCCAAGGCCCAAGTTGAGTCTGAAGTGGCAGGTATGAGAGAGTTTGAGTCCTTGCCTCGAGTCACCCGACTCCGGTGCTCAGTATCAGTGTCCCAGCATCTCAGATTGCGTGTGAGTCAGTGTCTACATATTACGTAGTATGTTTACCTACATCAATATCTATCTCAGGGTCACAATGCATTAGTGTATTGATGTGTCGGTGACTCAGTAGATGTAATGGTCAGTGAATTTCTCAGTCAGTTTGTTGCCCAGTGAGCCCTATTTCCTTACCAGCTCCAAAGGACCGAATAGAAAGTGAACCAGCTCTGCTGCACTGGGATTCTGGATGTGCTTCTTTAGTTTGGCCTGCAGGGGGCAATAAACACTAGGTCAAGACCTTCAAAAGCTAGCAGTAGACCTAACAGAATTCCAGTGTTAGTTAATAATACATTTTAAATTATGGAAGAAATGATATACTAAGTGGAAGCTAGTTTGAATGGAAGGTCATCAATGTGAAAGAACATCGCTTTAGCTAACTGAAAGACCCACCAGTAGGTTAAAGGCAAGTTTTATCTTCTGCAGGCTATCTGTGAATTCGGCCTCTGATGGTGGTTTGGCTCGTAAGGTCAGCATGCCCTCTGGAAACACCAGACACTCATTAACACAGACGTTGGAAACACTCTCCAGCAGCAAAACGCTGCCTAATAGCTATGTACAACACAGGGCCGTGCTTTTAGGCACGTGTGGGGTCATCGAGGGGTCATGGGGTCACTTACCTGCCGGACCTCTCTTCTTGCCCTTCTTGCTCTTGTTCCGCTGGTTCAGCTGAGCAAACGCCTCAGCGGCCTTCTGCAGCCGCGCCACAAAAATTTCAATGTCGTCCAGAGCACAGTTGAGAATTTGCTAAAAATAAAAAAAGCAGGAGTCAAATTCAGCAAGTAAGGAACCGTACAGTGAATGCAGTGCTGCACATTACAGTACCAGAGGGTTAGATTGTATGCAGTGATTCAGTCTGTATGCAGAATATCACAGTGACACATACAGTACCACAGTACCAGAGGGTCAGTCTGTATGCAATGATTCCGTCTACATACAGATCATCAAAATGCTACGCATTACAATGCCGGAGGGTTGGTTTATATACAATGACAGCATATCACAGCATTGTAAAGTATCAGAAGAACTCACCACATCCTTTTCAATGCGCTGTGCCAGCTTTTCATTAGACTCCTGGTCGTGTTGAACAGAAATCCGTCTATCGATATCTGTTCAGTAGACATACTGTAAGTTCCTGCAGTACATATGCTTGTGTGTGTGTGTAGATTATGTTTACATTACATTGTGGGGACCAAATGTCCCCCACAAAGTAATAAAAACTTGTTATTTTGACATTGTGGGGTCCATTTCTCAGGTCCCCACAAAGATGTGAATGCAATCACAAAAGTAAAAATGCAATAAGTTGCATGTTTTGTTTGGTTACTTATGGTTAAGGTTAGGGCTGGGTAGGGCTTAAGGTCATCATGCTGGGATTAGAGTTTTCCTCATAGAAATGAATGGAGAGTCCCCACAAAGATATAACTAGCAACCTGTGTGTGTGAGTGAGTGTGTGTGTTGGATCACCTTTCATGTTTGTGGCAGCCACTCTGCCCTTGACGGCCGGGGCTTGGTCTTTGGAGGCCGAGGGGGGGATGATGGTCTCCCTGTGGCGTTTCATCTTCTCTTGATTGACCCTGTGAGGAAAGGGTTATATCTGTGAGCTCAGCGGACAGGCAGGCACGGCACGTGGGTGCGGGGGAGCCGGACACATGCTTACTTCAGGGTCTGCGGCCGCATCTTCTTGCCGTGCTTGTTGTCTCCGAGGGCGCTGTCGATGTCAGCATGCACCATTTCAGCCTATAGGAGCGAGGATAGCAGCGTGCATTATGTTGCACTGAATGATGTTGGTAAAAAACACCAATAATTATACCTCTGATGCATATTTGGGAATCTGGATCAAGGTTACGGACCAAGTGTCATAGTGCCATGTGTGTTTGTGTCTTTGTCTGCATTAGCATAGGTGGTTGTGAGATTGCGTCCCAATACAGTGCATGCATTTTTCTGTTTGGATTAGCATTAGGGTGCTATTGGACTGTGTCACAGTGAATTGTATATACATGGATTAGCATTAGGTGGTTCTGAGGCCGTATCCCAATACAGGGCGTGTGTGTTTCTGTTTGGGTTAGCAATTAGCATTAGGGAGCTATTGGACTGTGTCACAGTGTATCGTGTGCGTCTGGGTTAGCATTAGTGACCTACTGGACTGTGTCACAGTGTATTGTCTGTGTCTGGGTTAACATTAGGGAGTTACTGGACTGTGTTACAGTGTATTGTTTGTGTCCGGATTAGCATTAGGGAGCTACTGGACTGTGTTACAGTGTGTGGCGTGTGTGTCTGGGTCAGCTTCAGTGAAAGGACTCACCTCCACCTCGTCACAGTGGAAGAAATGGATGTCGGGCCGGTGCTGCTCATTGTCCTGGCACACAAGCAGCAGCACCGAGGGGTAGCGGGTCTGATTCAACACCGTCTGGCACATGTGCACCGTGGACAGTGGGAAGTTCTCCAGCTCCTCCTGACAGGGCCAGAGGAAGATGTTCAGTTTATACACTGTCACACTGACCAGTGTTGTGTGCACTGGAAACCCCAGCATCTGGGCTATTTCAACAACAAACAGTCTCTTAACAGTCTTACAGATCTTATAATTTACAATGACGATGGATCCTACGTACTTGAACTCCCATAGTGATTTGTCAAAAGGATATATAATTGAAATAGAAAAAATAACCCACACAACATGAAATTACAGTACATACACTATATAGACAAAAGTATTGGGACACCTGGCCACTACACCTACAGGAATTTTTATGACATCCTTTTCAAAATCCATCAATATGGAATTGGTTCCCTCTTTGCAGCTATAACAGCTGTCACTCTTCTGAGATGGCTTTCCACAAGATTATGTAGTGTGTCTGTATGTCTTTGCCCATTGATCCAGAAGAGCATTTGTGAGGTCAGGAACTGATGTTGGAATGAAGGCCTGACACTCAATCTCCATTCTAGTTAATCCCAAAGGTGTTCCGACGGGATTTGAGGTCAGGGTTCTGTGCAGGCGAGTCAAGGTCTTCCACACCAAACTGACCAAACCATGTCTTTATGGACCTTGCTTTGTGCACTGGGGCACAGTCATGCTGGAACAGAAAAGGGCCTTCCCCAAATTGTTCCCACAAGGTCCGAAATGTCTTGGAATGCTGAAGCGTTAAGAGTTCCCTTCACTGGAACTAAGGGGCCCAGCCCAAGCCCTGAAAAACAACCCCATACCATTATCCCTCCTCCACCAATCTTTACAGGTGGCACAATGCAGTCGGGCAGGTAATGTTCTCCTGGAATCCGCCAAACCCAGACTCATCCATCAGACTGCCAGACAGAGAAGTGCGATGTGTCACTCCACAGAACATGTTTCCACTGCTCCGGAGTCCTGTGGTGCCGTGCTTTGCACCACTCCATTCGCCACTTGGCATTGTGCTTGGTGATGTGAGGCTTGCATGCAGCTGCTAGGCCATGGAAGCCCATTCCAAGAAGCTACCAGCACACAGCTTTTCTGCTGGGGTTAATGCCAGAGGAAGTTTGAACTCTGCAGTTATTGAGTCAACAGAGCGCTGGCGACTTTTACATACTATGAGCCTCAGCACTCAGCAGCCCCGCTCTGTTACTTTACATGGTCTGACACTTCATGGCTGAGTTTCTGTTGTTCCTAAACACTTCCACTTTGCCATAATACCACTTACAGCTGACCATGGAATATCTAGCAGAGAAGAAATTTCACAAACTGACTTACTGCAAAGGTGGCATCCTATAATAGTACTAAGCTTGGATTCTCTGAGCTTTTCCGAATGATTCATTCTTTCATAAATGTTTCTAACCCTGATGGCTGTATGGCTAGGTGCTTCATTTTAGACACCTGTGGCAATGGATCTGAATGAAGTGTGTCCCAATACTTTTGTCCTTAGAGTGTATAACCAGTTATATTCTATGTAATTTATGTACAGTTCAAACATATTCAAACATGTATATGCAGAGTTAATACATAATAGACACTGGATTATTCCAGGCTATTGCATTTAGGAACCATCACAAAGTCACAGTTCTGTTCTCTCACTGATACGTAACGTGCCTCATGCCTGGTTTCATAGAACCATCCCTATTTTTCCATTAGATGGTGCTCTCAACACACACAGCTGTTACTGTGTCTCCCAAAGTCAATTATTGACATGTACCTCCTAGAACTGAAATTGCCTAAAGTTGTTCTGTTTTTCTTATGAGATCAGTTTACTGAGCGTCTTACTTATTCACATGCAGCCTGGGTTTCTAAACCTCAAGCTCAGCAACCCAATAAAGGCCCCAGTGTTTACCGTTAGCGAACACGCTGTGAGCTTTAAACTGGGCCCATCTGTTAATATCTTTTAGCGTTTTATTGTTTTTTTGTTATTAGGTGACGTAAAGTCAAGGTCAACTCCCAATGACCATACAAGCAGCATTCGTCCTGAACATTCTATCTTCTTTTAAGGTCTTTAGGCCTCCCAAAGGCATGTTTACTGTATTATTGTGTTGGTCATTCTCTTCCTCATATTCCTCCCATAAGTCAGCTTTTCCAAACATTATGGTCTTCTCCATTGCACTTGTCTCCTTATAATACGTAAAAAATAATACAGATTCTTGCTGGTTATTTGTGCTTTAAGTGAAAGTTTCGGCTTGATATCATCAATAATGCACTTGTTTGTTATCCATGCACACCACAGTATTATTAAAAGTCTTCACCAACAGAAAATCTTCATGTCTAACGTTAAAATTAGCTGCTGATCCTGAGGTCATAATGTATATTTTTATCACATTTAGCCACAGTGGCATCTTTTCACTTTGTTCTTTAACTTTTTATATGCCTTCAGGTCTTAATTCCCTCTGTACGTGTAGTGCGGTTAGCATGAACTAAGGAGAGGTCACATGTAGGCTTTATTAATGCATTTCTCATGATAATGTCGTAAAATGTATGTGTCCCTGCGAAGAGTGAGACACTGAATACTCAAAGTACTTGGTCACTGCTGTTAAATTAACTCAATGAGTAGCTAAACCAAGTGAGTGGAGCAGAATCAAATTTCAGCAAGAGCATCGACTATAGGCAATCATTAATGGAGGGAAGTCTTCTTCTGGCTCACACTAATGTTAAGGATGGGTGCAAAAAACACTAACATGGTAGACATACCTGTGAGTCACAGTCCAGGAGGCGTATGGCCTTGTCGGTAACCTGCAGCAGCATCTCCTGGGTCCAGATCTTGTCTTTGGAGTCAAGAAAGATAAGCTTCTTGATGGCATCATCAACTGTGGCAATAGACTCGGTTTTATCCATCACAAAGGTGGAGAGGTGCTGGAGAGAGAGGTGTTTGGGACATACTTCAGGATGAACTTAAGTAGAGTTAGAATTAAGGAATGACTGACAGAGAGAATAGCTATCATTTAAAACTTTCCATTTGAATTTGAAGCTAAATTATCTTGGTCCAATACCTGGTGGTCAACTAAAAAAATATTTTCATATATTTTTTAATTATACTTTTCTGACCTGAAACCAGAAATAATTCTGACTCCTTAGATGAAATACATACACAAAGTGAAGAGCAAATCCTAAATTAGGAGTGTGCTTACAATGATATATATATTCATATTCATCCATTCAACTGATATTAACATGCGGATTTCAGTCGAATGCTCTACTACCCAACAAAAAGTCACGTTAACATAATGAGAACATGTAATCTCTAAATGCAGGAGGATGACCGGGTGTGAGATTTGAGTATGGGCCTTCTGGTTATTCGCCCGGGAGAATGGGGAAGAACAGCCAAAGCACTACTCTGCAGCCATTAGACCGGGTTGCGTACTGCAGGGTTTGGACAGCAGTGAACGGGAGATCTGAAATGCGAAAATGTTTAGACGGTGTGGGTGTTGGCTTTGATCAGGCTGAGCTCTCTGCCTGTTTTATCACAGGTGAAAGAAAGCAAAGGTCATACTGCAAAGAAACCCTCACAGCCTCAAGCCCGTGTGTTTTCCACTCTGTCTGGGCAGGGAAATGAATAGGTATTTATAAACATATCTGTTTTTTTAGCATATTCAGCGTGTATACTTTTTAAATTTGTTTGCACATTTCCTTGTTTGAACTATGTTTACTATCTTTGCCTTGTATTGCACTACATGTATGTTGGTCTATGCTCTGTTATGTACAGACAGTTACATCATTCAATTCATGTTACATAGTTTATTTACCATATTAATATACACACTATATTATACATGCTATATTCATGTACATACTTTGTGTCTGCCTTCCTGTCGTGTCATGTGCACTATGTGTTAATCTGCACTTTACCCCTGTCATTGTGCACATACAGTCCCCCTATGTGTCTTACATTGCACCGTGGTCCGGGGGGAATGACATATTCTGACACTGTATACTAGTGTATGGCTGGCACTACAATAAAGTCCCACTGGAATACTTGAATACATAATTGTTGCTGTAAGCACACAAATTTCCTCCTGGGATCAATAAAGTTTTTCTTAATCTTAAATGTGTGTGTTCTGGTGTTTTTTTCTATGTAGCGCATATTTTTTAGAAAATATCACCACAGAAATTGTGGCTTCTCTTCTCGAGCTGGATTCCAAACAAACCCAGGTCCTGTTTTAAGAACTTTATCTTGATTTAAAAAAGGCAATATTTTGTTATCACATTGAAAAGTTCTGTTTGATAAGTAATCTGCCGCTTAAAAAAAATCATTAATCATATCAAATTAAGAGTGTCAGATAAACATGTACATAAACACACTTCTGGGCCCTGCTCATGGACCATGATCCTGCACGTAACTGGAGGACAGGACCGATACACCCAGTTCTGCGTATGTTTAACTGCACACCCGTAAAGGCTTCTTAATGAGACTCTCTCGTCACGGCTGTTGATGAACGTTGCCTGTGCCAACTGGCCTGAAACCAGCTTTACAGCACATTGGCAATAAAAAAAACAAAAAACAAACGGACAATCAAAAATTAACCCACATGCCGGCTCTGATTGGTTTTTATGGAGGTCGGATAGAATCTAGTTTCCCTTTATAAACCAGATCCTATATATTACTGGTACAAAACAGCGCACTGGTGATTGGCATTGGTCGATTGCTGGAATGAGTGTGAATAGAGACAGAGAAGGCTCTTACCTCCACATGATACTGGGACGTTTCATGCATGATGATGTTGGAGTTGGAGTACTTTTTCCTCTGCTCTGTGAAGCGCAGGAGGGAGGAATATGAAGCACATACACTGTAAATGTGACTGTTCTCAGAAAATAGTCACACATCTGACAGAAACCAGGACGGCCACCACACAAACAAGCAGATGCTAGCGCAGGTCCCGTCCAACGACATGCAAAAGCTCAGTCCATGTTTTTCCAATACTCAAAATATAATGGACACATTTTCCATATTAAGATACACAGAAGCTCACACAGGTTCCACCTTAAGGTTCCCATCACTGCCCATTCACTCGCCAGAACCCATCATATCGGCAGTAATAATATCCTCCAGCTCTCCACAAAAATAAATGACGTTGACAGACCGACCCTCCAATGTGACCCAACCCGCTATTACCTTTCTCTTTCCAGCTCAGCATTGCTCCTAATGATTGCCGTACTCCCTCTGCCCAGTTCTGGTTGAGTGTGACCCGTCACCGTCACGGCAGGAGTGCGCTGTGACCCATAGCCCCGCCCACCCGTCCACCTCACTCTCCTATCTGTCAGCAGGGTTAAAGGTCAGCTGTGCGATGCCTTTACTGGCAACAAATATGTTACTTCAACACTAGCTTTACATGTTTGAGCACAGACATTTAAACGTAATGCTGTTTTTTTGGTAGGTGTAGCAAAAGAGCAGCAGAAAGAACCAGACCTCTCTGGAGATCCTTACTGGAGGTTAATCCTCACACACACAAGCCATTATTCCAGTGTTATTCCACTCCGGTGCCTTTTACGTGATGTTCTCACTGCAATAAAATCACAGGCAGAATACTAAACTCATAGATTTACGTCATATCCATATACATCACGCATGCTAGTTAATGAACCTTACTGAGTGCTTCTAGAATCAGTAACTGGAACAACCCTCTTATGGACCTTACTACATTTCAATCTGGGCCCGTTTAGAGTAATTGACCAATCTTTTATTTGGATAACGTTCAACACAATGCAAATGAACGCTATGAATTAAATCTATAAACTCCAGTGAGTCGTAAATTACCAGTGTGAGAGAGGAGGACCTGTGTCATATCTCCCATGACAAAGTGGCACAACAAGTTATGTATAATTCCCCATTCAAACATTTTCTTCCTTCTCTTAACACAAAGACTTTACAGTTCCTGTGTCTGGTGGACTGATCCTCATTCATTATGCTGCCAAGGCTTCTCTCTTTGACTGTCCTTGTTTTATAGGTCCAGTGGCTGGATAAACAGATATCCTCTGTGTTTTCTATGGTGTGACATAATTTCTGCCCTCTGCTTTCTACCTTACAACAATTTCACGATATATATAGTACATACACATCAGTGGCCAGTTTATTAAGTATGCCTGCTTGCTGATGCAAACAGCCTGCTCATCTATACAGCGAATCATGGGGCTGCAACTGAATATAAACAGCATGCACACAGGGTCAACACGGTCAGTTATTGTGTTGTTAAGCTGAGAGCAGTTAAGACATGTGATCTTATAGACCAATGTGTCCCAATCTGGTCCTCGGGGACCCACAGCCAGTCCATATTTTTGCTCCCTCTTTCCTCCCTACCAGACAGTCCATATTTTTGCTCCCTCTTTCCTCCCTACCAGACAGTCCAT